TTTAAGCCAGATGGAGTAACTAATCTATGCCAATAATCCAAGCACAGATGTGAGCCACTATGCCCAGCTACATATTTTTTAAGTACATATACAGTAATGACTGGAATAAAATATAACAGTGGGTTTTGTGGTTGTTGTTGTTTTGCTCTTTGAGAGTCAAGGTCTGATCATTTATTTGTTACTCTTAAAGACTTATTTTTTGACTAGACTCAGACTTGGTCTTCTTCCCCACCTCCCTTCCTAGTTTTTAAGACAGGGTTTCTCTGCATAGCCCTGGCTGTCCTGAAACTCTGTAGACCAGGCCTGCCTTTCTTTCCAGAGTGCTAGAATTACGGGTATGCACCATCACTGCCCAGCTGTCAATCAGATTTTTAAAGCAAGAAGACTCACCCTAAATCTGGACCACACCTTCTGTAGCCTACACAAAAGGACACAGATGAAAAAGCTTTGCCTTTTGCCTGCTAGCACTCTTGTTGGTAAGTTCACCTATCCTCTTGCTGCCAACTACTTCTGGATTCTAGAATAGACTATAAAGACTAACAGCTCTCCTAGAATCCTCCAGGGTTCCTGCACCAAACAGGGACTAGAGAGATAACAGGCTCATATGTGTATGTGTGTGTGTATTAAAAGGGTGTGTGTGTGTGTGTGTGTGTGTGTGTGTGTGTGTGTGTGGTTTGAACAGGTATGGCAGCCACAGATTCATGTGTTTGAATACTTGGCCCATAAGAAGTGGCACTATTAGGAGGTGTGACCTTATTGGAATACGTGTGGCCTTGCTGAAGGAAGTGTGTCACTGTGGAGGTGGGCTTTGAGGTCTTATATGTGCTTAAGCTATGCCCAGCATTATACACAATCTCCTGCTGCCTTCGGATCAAGATGTAGAACTCCTAGCTCCATCTCCAGCACCACGTCTGCCTAGACTCTGCCATGTGTCCCACCATGATAATAGACTAAACCTCTGAAACTGTATGCCAGTCTCAGTTAAATGTTCTCCTTTGTAAGAGTTGCCTTGGTCATGATGTCTCTTCACAGCAATAAAACCCTAAGACAGATATAGATATATATGTCCACCAAGCAATGGAAAACTAACGAAGTTAAAATAAAATACAGGTTCATAATATAACACAGGTAAGCAAGCCTTGAAGACATGTTAAATGAAAGAACCAAGTCACACTCAGAAATTCTGAATGACATATTCAGTATATATCAACTTATAGGACAGAAAGTACACTAGCATAACCTAGAGCTAGAGGAAGGTGAAAGGTATTGTATCAAAGTAATGAAGACACTGTAGAATTGATTGCTGTAGTACAATCTGTAAACACTCTAAACAACAGCAAACTATACAACTTATATGAACGATTATAGTAATGATTTATACATTATTGTGTAAATCTATAAATTTATCAATAACATTACAAAAATAGTTAAAGTAACTATAAAACATTTATAAAAAACAGAATAATAAAGTCAGGTATGTAGAACATAACTGTAGTCTCAGCTTTCAGAAGTCTAAGGTAGGAGGATCATGCGTTCAAGGCCAGACTAGGCTATATGGTAAGACCCTGATGAAGAGAGCTGGGGGTGGAAGAGTTGACATTCTGGGGTTAGGCAGTTTCTCTAAAACATGAAATGCATAACCAATAATTAAAATTTGATAAAGTAAACTTCAACAAAGTTTCTAACTTCCATTCTTTAAAACAGTTTAAAAAATAAAAGGGCAAGCTACAGACCAGGAGAAATACTTACAAAACATCTAAAAGAGGATTTATACCCAGTACACATAATAAATTCTTATAACAAAATAATAAAACAACCAAAATTTTAAATGGACAGAAAATTAACAGAACCTCCACATCAATGATAACGGATGAATGACAATTAATCCACGGAAATCAATTCATTGCCAATGTGTTATTGGATAAGTGTAAATTAAAACTGAAGTGGGATACCACTATACCCACAAGAATGCCCACACGGGGGTTGGAGGAATGGCTTAGTGGTTAAGCGCACTTACTGCTCTTGCAAAGGACCATGCCCGGATCCAGTGCCCTCTTCTCACCTCTGCAGGCACCGACAAACAGTTGGCACACACTTACACAGACACACACACGTACATAAAAAAAAATAAATCTTAACAAAATAAAAACCAGAATAGTCTGTAGTAGGGATGGCTCTGTGGTCATGAGAACTCAAGTTTGGTCCCACCTAGAAGCTCACAACCAATTGCTCTAAAAAGATCTGACATCTCTTGTCTGAGGCAGAAAAACCATGAGTTAAATGCCACCCAGGGATACATGGTAAGTCCCTATGGGGGTGTAATTAAAACACCAAATATTGAAGTTATAGAAAACTAGAATTCTCTACTACAAATGAGAAAATATGACAAAGGTACTTTTAAAAAGCAGTTTGTCAGTTTCTTTTGAGTTTTTCAAACAGGGTCTCCTATAGCCCAGACTGGCCTTAAACTTAACTGTGTAGCTGAGAACAACCTTGAACTGGTGATCTCCTGTCTCTAGCTCCTGAGTGCTAAGATTACAGCAATGTTCTCGACTACATCTGCTTTTTGTGGTGCTAGGGCCTGACCAGAGCTTCATGTATGCTAAGCATAGTATCTCCCTCTGAGTTACACATTCAATCCTAGTCTGGCAGGGATTTGTATGTATGCAGTGGATGTGTAAGTGTGTTCGTGCATACCTGTGTAATGTGGTGTACAAACAACAGAGGACACTGAATGTTCTCCTCTATCACTTCTGCCTTGTTACTTGGAGGCAAGGGCTCTTATTTCTCAGACAGTCTGGCAGCCAGCAAGTTCCAGCGATGATCCTGTCTCTACCCATCTGGCTTGTTCCATGGGTGTCTAAACTCAAGTCCTCACAGTTGTGCAGCAAGCACTCTGAACCAATGAACCATCTTGTCAGCTCTGCAGTTTCTTGTAATATAGAAGAGGGTCAGTAAGATGGCTCATCTGGTAAGACTGCTTGCCACAAAGCCTGATGACCTGAGTTCAATCCCTGGAACCTACATGGTAGAAGGAGAGAACCAACTCCCACATGTTGATCTCTGATCTACACACTCCCATGTACACAAACATCCACACCCCAACCCCAACACACAAATAAATAAATGTAAAGAGCTAATAATAATAAAGTTGGAAAGTAACTGAGAAAAGAAACTCGATGATGACCTCAGGTCTCTACATGCACAAGCATGTGTGTGCACTCACACATCACACTGTTGGAGTAGTTAATCTTTACTGTTAACTTGACTGGATACAGAAGGTTACCAGAAGTTAAGCTTTCATTTCCAAATAAGTTTAACTGAGCCTCCTCAGATAGGACTACCTTGAATGTGGGCAACACCATCCATAGGCTGAATAAAAAGTTAAAAGCAGAAAGCAAGTTAAGTACCAGCATTCATCTCTTTCTGCTTCCTGGGTATGCATGTGATGTGACTAACTGCCTATGGCTTCCAACCACTGCAACTAGAAACACTCCAGCCTCCATGCCTTCCCTAACATTATAGGTACTCTTGAATCATGAGCCAAAATAAACCTTCCCTTCCTCAGCTTATTTTTGCCCGGTTTTTTGTTGCAGTAACTAATACAAGTACATATTATTTGTTTGGTATTCAAAAAAAAAAAAAAAGAGCAAAATATAGAGACAGAAAGCAGATCAGTGGTTAGTTAACAAAGGAAAATAACTATAAAACAGAACAGTGGGACTTGGGGCTGATGAAAGTATTCTGTCCTTATGCGGTAATAGAAAAAGACTATAAACATCATAAAACTGGAGATCTAGGAGATGAAAGTTAACATACAAAAATTTTGCTAATAAAACTGACCCTTTACAAAAGAACAATTAATAGTTTCATTCCTTGTCTCAAGGCTACAGAAGTTTTCAAAGTCCTAGGTTAATTCTCAAAAAGTCCATAACCAATCAGCTTTCATTTCTAAAGTTTATGTACAGCTCTGAAGAACACAGAGACCAGGCTGACATAAAACCTATGAGACTATCCCCGGCTAACTTGTTGTGTTCAGCATCCCCACCCCACCCCCAGGAAGAACTCCACAAGCATTTAGTAGTACATTCCTACACAGGAGACAAATCCTACTTTTAGAGGTGATAACTTAAATCAGCAGATCAGTTTTTTATTTTATAGAGTGTTAAACCCAGAACTTTGTGTATGCATGTTAGTTAAACACTCTATCCACTGAGCTAGACCCCCAGCCCTACAGGTCAGCTCTAAACACCTGCAGTCTATTTGCCAATATCTAACAGAATCCACTACATTTCTACAAAGAATTAAAGAATTTATGCTTATTATGTCAATGTTTCTGAAACAATTAAAAGCAAATAAATACACAGTGCAACCAAGAGAAAAAATAAACAACAGCAACTAAGTTTTGAAGACAAGCAGCATGGGAAACATCACCTAAAATTCATGATGAGTTCTACTTGTCTACAAAATGGAAATGTGAAAACAGCTCAGAGGAATTGCAGTCAAAGTATATTAGAGCCTTGGGAAAAACTCAACAGTTAATCAGGCGCACAGACAGCATGGGGACAAGGTGTGGAGAGGAGTGAGCACAGGAGTGTACAGGTTTCAAAATGACAAAGCTTTGTATTATCCAAATATTTTGGAAGATACCTTTTAAAATTATCTCACTCTATAGCTCTAGAGCCAACAGTAAATCAGACTACAGCTAGCAAAGGCATATGGGTAAAAAAAAAAAAAAAAAATTCACAAATACAAACTTGAAACTTTCAGAAAATCAAATGAAATTTTACTTAAGCAGAAACAGAACTCTTCATTACTGTAGGCCACACCCTGCAATAAATCAATCAGTATCAAGATCTTCTCTGAGTGAACCTAACTTCCTGACACACAAACTGGCCTAGGCTGCAGTCTTATTTAACCTCCTGAAATATATTAATAACGAGACTGAGGGAAATACAAGCTAACTAAATGTTTGAGGATCAAGTTGGGCTGACACTCACCACAAACTTCTCACCATTCTGCTCCACATGTTTGTATGTGGGGACCGATATGGGCACTGCTTGCTTTTCTGTGTAATCATAAAATGATTGTCCCAAGGAGTCGTCACTGGGATCTAGGTTATCAGCCTCATGAGGAGGTACAGACAACACTGTCAAGATCAATTCCTTCTCGCCTGCTCGGATCAGGTCCACCACCTGCTTGTGTGTCGCCCCCTCAACATTCACGCCGTTCCTAAGGGGAAAAAGGGAAAAAAACAATCCCATAAACCAGACGGGTTCAAACACTTTGTAACTCCACCCTCCTGTCCCCACTCCAGTGTCATAGTATGAACCATAAAATCAAAAGATTCATCTGGTTCCAGAAAAGCTGTTTGTCTTTCAGAGTCTAAAGTGAAAAGGCTGTCTGTGAACTTACAGCAGGGACAGGAAATGCAAACAGGGAGAGAACTACCCTTCCTCTAGTCCAGAATGCTACACATTGCTAGATTCTGGAAAGACGGTGATGCTGGCAAGAAATAAAGCTCATTCAGCTATCTAAACAATCTGCCGCTTTTCTCATTTTAGCCAGCCACGTACAATACAATCAAAGTGACTTGAAGAATTCTCCCACTTTTACTACAGTCTGTTCACCTACACTTCAAGGGGATTTCCTTTCTAAGATTCATTTTTACTATTTTTAATTATATATATGTATGGGTATGTGCACATAAATGCAGAGGCCAGAGGCCTCTGTGAGCCTGTGAGTTACAGGCCATTGTGAGCCAGCCAATACGGGTGCTGGAAAACCAAACTTGGGTCCTCTGCAACAGCATTATACATTCTCAACCACTGAGTTGTATCTCCAACCCCAGAAATTTTCTTTTAAAAAGCTCCCCTTTGTAGAGATTAAAGTAAATGTGGGTGTGCTCCCAAGGTAGCTACTTAAATTATATATACATTTTCTCCATATCTTCAAATTAAACTTCCTTTATACCAATTTATTATTTTGATAGTTAAAAAGTATTAATCTACATATAGACAAGTTTCCTCTATCGTTTGGCTTCTAAAGGGGCAAGATTACCTCTCTAAAATTCCATTATTTTCAGGAGCTAGAGAGATGGCTCAGCAGTTAAAGAGCACTGGCTGCTCTTCCAAAGGACCTGGGTTCAGTTCCCAGTACCCACATGGCAACTTGAAATTGTCTGTAACTCCAGTTCCAGGGGATCTGAAAACCTCACACAGACATACACATGCAGGCAGAACACCAACGTACATACAATAAAAATTTAAAAATTATTTTAAAAATGCTATTATCTGAGCCAACTTCCTCTGTTCTCCCAGTCAGCCTGGATAATCTTTTAGGATACTTTGGACAGCTGGAAAATCTAAACATTTTCTGCTCCATACATCTCACTTAAGACTCTGAATAGTCTGTCCAAACCAAGAAACACACAACTACAGTGATACACAAATCAACCTATTCATTTCACTCGAACACAACCTGAAACAAGGAAAAGTATAAGATGCGGAAGAACAATAATTTTGTCAAGAAAGGTGCCAAGTCCCATAAGCACTCAACAAACTGAACAGCCTTCCCAGAATGCTGACCTAATGAACTGCCTCAGTAAAACCACTGAGCAGCTGGCCTGAAGGTTCCCTAGCATGGCTCTCATAAGAGACACAGGAAAAATACACCTGGCCTCTACTCACTTTACTATTTAAAGTTTATCTGCCTGTTAGAGTTAAATTATTTTTTCAGTTCTGTTCCAAACCATTAGGGCTTTCCCTTCCTGAACAGAATGCTAAGTTTAGTAAGAAGCCATACTGAGTTTTCAGCCATAGACTAGCCTCCTCAGAGCCTGGTATCTAAAACATCCATTTGTATAAACAGAGCAGAAAGGAGCTACCTCAGCTAGCCTCCTCCCTTATTTAGCAATCTAGCCAGTAAATTCAACTGCATATGGCACCGCACATCTGTAAGCTTAGCACTCAGGAAGCTGAAGCAGGAAGGAGGATTACCAGCATGCACTATATGGCAAGACGTTGTCTCAAAAAACTTAGAAAAAGAAAAAACTCTGTGATCCTCCAAACTCCTGACATTTCTCAACCTAAAATTCTAAATATAAGCAAATTCTTAAAAGTAGTGATTTAACCAAAACAGTCAATTCTATACATAAAAATAAAGGGTCTCTTTGTGATGGAAATTCCAATTTACACAATCTGAAAAGAAACAAGAATACGAAATTCCAACTTTTCAAATGTAATTCCTGAAGGTAGAGGCATGAGAATCTCTGCGTCCAGGCCAATGTGAGCTAAGACACCCCACTTTTAAAAAGCCAAACAAGAAAGGAGAGGAGACTGAGAAGGGGTATAGAGCTCAGTAGTGGGGTGCTCGGGGTTCAGTTTAGAGCTGGGGACTGGCAATGACACCGTGCATCAAGACACTGGGATAAACAAGAAACTGAAACCTGAACTTATAGGTTGACAAAGGAGTTCATCCAGCTCTTCAGTCTTAATACTTCTGAGAAAACTCAATTGAAAAGGTTAGAAATCATCACAGAACTCATCAATCCCTAAGAACCTAATTTTAATTTTCCATAAAATAGGAGACCTAAGACATCTCAAAGACTCAAAAATATAATATCCTAGACACTAACAAGGTTGTTTTATGAATTTATCCTCAAATCTCACTACTTTCCTTTGCTTGCGTTGTTTGTTTTTTAGCAGAGCAAATATAGATTTGTTACAGGAAAAAATAACACCCAATGGCTGGGGGCCCCCAAGGGAGGAATGAACACTTTCCCCCAACTTTCCTAGACAGGATCTGACTTTGCAGCCACGCCCTGACTTCAGTTCTGCTGCCGCAGCTCCCTAGTGTAGGCATTACAGCATGTCACCCCATCTTGGGGTACTTTGCTTATAGTCTTGGAAATTAGTGACCCTACAAAATTTGTAGGTAAAAGTGTATTTATGTGCGTGTATCTGTTTTCTAGGGGGAACGTCCACACCTTTCATTGGTTTCAAAAAGGAATATGTGATCTACAAAAAGATTAAAAACTGCTGATTTCAAAATACAACTTCAAGCTGTAAAAAGAAATGAACTGTTCCTTGAGTCTCTCATAAAAATTCTCCCTGGACCTGGCTACGGTGCCATGTACTTTTGATACCAGCACTCTGGAAGCAGAGGTAGGCAGATAGATCTCTACGAGTTCAAGGCCAGCCTGCTTTATATAGTGAGTTTCAGCCAGAGCAAGAAAGTGAGACCGTGTCAAAAATAAATAAATCGAGGAAAGACTCCCGAGAAATGTAAGAGGATTATAAACAGCCAGAGAGCAACAGGGGCAGCCTCAGTTCCCTGTCTTTGTCATCAAGAATGCACTTTCAACTGGCTAACATCCCAAAACCTTCATTAAAAAATAAATACAGACAAGGGGTTGGGATTCGGCTCAGTGGCAGAATACTTACTCAGCTTGCATGACCCCTAGATTCAACCTCCAGCATTACAAAAAGGGACACAAAAAAACAGGAAAGAACTTCTAGTGTTCTGTGTCATATCCTAAACACATTTGCTAATATTTATCTGGATAACTGCCAAATGAATGCTATATGTGCCTCAGCTTAATACAAAGAAAGAAATTCTTTCATTCTCCAAAGAATGAAGTCACTAAAAAATTCCAGACCATCTGATTTGAAACAGGGCCCTCCCTCCTCAGGAATTTCAAGGGCTTCTCAATCATAAAAGTGCTAGTCACAGGCAAGAGAGACAGCTCAGCTGCTACGTGCATGTGTACACTGTTCTTGGAGAAGACTCAAGTTCCGTTCCCAACACCTACACTACGTGGCTCACAACTATACCTCCAGCTCCAGAGGCATATGACACTTCTGGCCTCCGAGAGCACTGGCAATCACACGTATATACCCAAATTCATTCACACACATATACACACTCACACTCAAAAATAATAACTATTTTTTAATGTGCTAGTCATTAAATGTTGGTATGATACACTGTTTTATACAAGAACACTATTAAACCAGGTTCAAGTTAAGTATGGCCCTAAACTTATACAAATCTGAAATATAAATAAATTCAAAATGTAACTTCCATAAAAAGGGGAAGTTTCAGCAGTGCAGACATTTGTTTCAAAGCCTGGGCATTAGGGAGTCAGACCTGCATGGGGTCTGAATACCAGTGATGTCATCTTAGATAAGACCTTACCTTAATATTAGGTAACTCATACGAAAAGCCACCACATATGGCTAAATGAAGTGGCATGAGAACTAAAGGGAGCCACTGATAAAGCTATTAGGACAGTGAGATCCACACAGCAAATGGGCTGGTACAACTGTGTTCTCCATGACAATAAAAATCTCTTCTTCCAATAATTTTGCTTCCCTTCTGTCTTTATAACATAATCTATCAGAAATTCATCTGAAAATAAATGATCACAAAATAAGCAAGCATCAGAGAACCACACAAGTCTGGCTGACAACACAAAAGATGTGCAGTGGGTTAAGAAATACCAACCTATCCTTTCCACAAAGTCAGTATCTTCAATGAACTATCAAAAAGAATTCAACAAATACGTTACTAAATAAATAAAACTGAATGTTAATTATAGAATCCGGAGGGTAAGTACCGAGGCTGGAGGGACAACTCAGCAGTTAAGAGCATTCACTGCTCTCCCAGAGGACCTGAGTTCTGTTGCCAGCACCCACATCCATCAGCTCACAACTGCCTGAACACTAGCTCCTGGGAATTCAACACCCTTTTTTGGCTTCCTTGAACACCTGTGTGCATGGGTGTACATATACATAATCTATATAATACATATACTTTAATAAAATTATGAATAAACAAATACATTTTTCAAAGATGACTCACTTTACAATCCTTTCAACTTCTTCATGTTTGAAATTTTCCATAAGAAATTGCTTTATAATAAAACTCATAAATAAGACCAGAATTTTGTTTATTTGGAAATCTAAGTGATATTCAAATTACATGGATGTTTTCAGCATTGTAAAGATGCACTTGATAATTTTAAAGAAAGCCTCATTTTTACTTTGAGATCAATGTTTAGCTCCAATGGAGACACTTTTAGCTAGCTAATAGAAGTGGCTTCAAATAGTACAACTAAAGTTAGCCAGCTGAGGAAATTACAAAACTAATATAAACACTTCCAGAAGCAGAAGAGAAGTCCTGGTCAGAGTTTATACTCTGCTTCTGAAGGAAGCTGGACAAATGCAACA